ATTTACACACCAACCACTAAGGCCAAAGATGAAGAAATTGAAGATTTTTACCAACTTCTGCAGTCTGAAATTGATCAAACATATAATCAAGATGCATTGATATATTACTGGTGATTGGAATGCAAAAGTTAGAAACAAAGAAGAATGAGTAGTTGGAAAACATGGCCTTGGTGACAGAAATGACCCCCGAGATCACATGACAGAATTTTGCAAGACCAACGACTTATTCATTGCAAATACCTTTTTTCCAACAACATTAAAGGCGACCTTTTATACACGTAGACCTAGTGGGATGCAATACACAGGAATCAAATTGACATCTGTGGAAAAAGATGATGCAGAAGCTCTATATCATCAGTCAGAACAAGGCCAGGGGGAATGCAGAACTGACCGTCAATTGTTCATACACAAGTTCAAGCTGAAGCTGAAGAAAATTAAAACAAGTTCCATGCAGGCCAAAACACGACCTTGAGTATATTCCACCTGAATTTAGAGACCATCTTAAAAACAGATTTGACGCACTGAACACTAACGACCAAAGACCAGATGAGTTGTGGGATAACATCAAGGACATCACACATGAAGAAAGCAAAAAGGTCATTAAAAAGACAGGAAACAAAAGACCAAAACTGATGTCAGAAGAGACTCTGAAACTTGCTCTTCAAGGTACAGTAGCTAAAGTGAAAAAAATGATGAAGTAAAAGAGCTAAACAGAAGATTTCAAAGTGGGGCTCGAGAAGACAAAGTAAAGTATTATGATGAAATATGCAAAGACCTGGAGTTAGAAAACCAAAACGGAAGAACAGGCTCAGCATTTCTCAAAATGAATGAACTCCAGAAAAAACTCAAACCTTGAGTTACAATATTGAAGGATTCTATGGGCAAAATATTGAACCACACAGGAAGCATCAAAAGAAGATGAAAGAAATACCCAGAGTCACTGTACCAAAACCATTTCAGGAGGTAGCATGTGATCAAGAACGGATGGTATTGAAGAAAGAAGTCCAAACTGCACTAAAGGCATTGGCAAAAAACAAGGCTCCAGGAACTAACAGCTTACCAATGGAGATGTTTCGACAAGGGGATGCAGGGCTGGAGGTGCTCATTCGTCTGTGCCAAGAAATTTGGAAGACAGCTACCTGACCAATCGACTGGAAGAGATCCATATCTGTGCCCATTCCAAAGAAAAAATGCAGAAATTATCTAACAATATCATTAATATCACACACAAGTAAAATTTTGCTGAAGAAAATTCAAAAACAGCTGTAGCAGTACATCGACAGGGAACTGCCAGAAATTCAAGCTGGATTCAGAAGAAGATATCATTGCTGATGTCAGATAGATCCTGGATGAAAGCAGAGAATATCAGAAAGATGTTTACCTGTATTTTATTAACTATGCAAAGGCATTCAACTGTGTGGACATCATGCTTGTTAAAGTAGAGGGTCAGCAAAAAAGAGGAAGACCCTCCGCCAGGTGGACTGACACAGTGGCTGCAACAATGGGCTCAAACACAGGAACAACTGTGAGGATGGAGCAGAACCAGGCAGTGTTCCGTTCTGTTGGACATAGCGTCACTGAGTCAGAACTAACTCGACAGCACCTAACAACAACAACAAATACTTCTTTAATTTACAAAAGAAATTACGGGTGGGTTTTTTTCTTTTAATTTTCAAAATTAATCTTGGAGTGGGAAAAGATTTTCTAAAACGTGACAGAAAACTCTAGCTATAAAGGAAAAGGTGGACAAAGTTGACCTCATGAAGATTTAAAACTTCTATTTGGAAACATCTACCATAAACAAAATCAGAAGTCAAATAACAACTGGACCACATGACCATGACAGGCAAAGGGCTAATATTCTCAATATACAAAGAACTTATTTAGATCAATCATTAAAAGAAAAAGCCAAAGATTAAAGTTTGATAATATTGTGATATTGGAGAATGGGCACTCTAATTCATTACTGATGAAAATTTAAACGAATATAAACTTTTTGCTGGGAAATATGATGGTATCTACAACAATGTTAAATATATAGCCCTTAGATCTAGCAATTCCACTTCTAGGAATTTATCCTATGACTACATTTATATCATATATGAGGATATTCTTATAGCACTCGTGATTATAGCAAATAAGGGAAACGAGGAAGGGAGGGAAAGGAGGAGGGAGGGAAAGGAGGAGAGAAGGAGGGAAGAAGGGCTGTCCATTACGATGATGCCACACAACGGAACAGTCTCAATCCATTTTCAAAGTGAGGTACTGTACATGCCAACATGAAAAGAAGTCTCCTTACACTGTTAAATTAAGAAGGCAAAGTGCTATGGTCCTGTGGCAAAGACTTCCGTGTATTTACCAAATCCCGTTTCTTCTTCCTCCAGGGCACCTAGCTAGACTGCATTCCCCAGAGCCCCCTGCGGTTACGTGGCACGTGCGAATACAACCTGACCAACACAATGTGTGCAAAAGGGACACCTGCCACTTGCAGACGTGGTCCTTAAAAACCTCCCGTGGTCTCATGTTCTCGCCTTCACACCCTCCCAGGTAGGAGCAAAGCCCCCAGACGGAAAGCGCCTGTGCCAAGTTTCCACTTGAGGGAAAGCTGCCAAGGGATGCCACCCAACCAAAGACGCCACACGCAAATGTAGCTGTAGAGTCAGAAAAACTAGGGATGCAAATCCAGCTCTGCCACTTACGAGATGTGTGAAATTGTGAAACAAACTCTTTGAACTCCAAGTTCCTCAGCAGTAAAACAGGGATAATAAAAACCTATCTCATAGCATTGCTGTGAGGATTGTATCTTTCCATATTTGCAAATCGTTCAATACATGGTAAATGTTCTGGAACTGGTTATTGAAATTATAATTACGATTGTTTATGAATGAGGATTCTGGATCTTATGAGCAAATTTACCGGTAAACCCACCTCCCTTCTACAATGGTGCGATACAATGGCCAGTGGCCACGGAGACCAGTACCTCCTGGATTTATGATATGTCATGTTGTGGATGGGAGAGGTGTCAAGAGGGAAACAGAGCAGGTGGAGCATGAAGGTTCTAAGGACAGGATATGAAAGCAGACTTTGGTTGGTTGTTCTCTGCCACCCCCTATTGATTCAGAGAAACAAACGCAGGGTTTGCTTAAATGACTTGTGGTCCACTGCCCTTCAGGCGATACAGTACCAGATGAGGAGGGTCTCTAAGCAATGAGCCAACGGTGGGGCAGGAAAAAAGAAGGGGCCGAAGATATCCTGGAGATTAATTCCCCTTGATCTTGGTCAGGGATCTCCAGGACATTTTTTTACCTCATACTTTGTATTTTTCAGGTTCTAACAGCCATAATGCCCTTTGACACTGCTGTAAAAGGAAGACTCATATATTCCTAACGATGAGCTGTTGGATTCAAGCACCTACTACCTACAGACAGGTACCCAATCTCTCCGATGCCTTCTTCCTGGATTTGAAAACCTGGAGTAACCATACATGCCTTGTACAGTTGCTATAAGGAATAAATACGGCATTCAAAAGCACTAGCCCCCAAGGTTCAATGGTTGTTCTCTTTACGTTTCTTCGCAGAAGTGTTTGTAAGCAGTCTTCCTAATTCAGATCTCAAGTTTATATGGCTGCAACCTCAGAAGACATCGGTCCCTCTTCCTGGGACTCCAGATATTATCTTAGGAGACTGTATACTCAGGCAGAAAAGGACTTTATACCCCGTCTGACCTTCTGTCTGACTCTCTGAGAGGTCCCAGGGATGGAAGAAGGAGCACTGTGGCCAACCATGGGTCCTATTTCATGTAAAACTGCCTGGTGGACACCAACCCCGCTCATATTCAAATTCTGAAACTGAATTTTATATCATTCCTCTAAAACCATTATTCCTCTCTCTTCTCATGCATGTTCCTCCTGATTTTTTATTCACAGCACTCCCACTTTCTCCAGTCACCCAGGCTTCAAACTTCCATACTTTTCACTTCTTCTGACTCACCCACCAATTCAGCCAGAGTGCTAACAACCTGCCCTTCAGTCTCCTCCAGCTCCATTTCTCCTTTCTGTTCCTCCTACCACACCTTAGGCCTGGTCCACGTTACCTCATCAACTACCACTGGATTAACTGTAGAAACTCTCCCAATTTTCCAACCTAGAGCCCGGGAACTTGATGGTACTGCTGATACTTAAAGAAAAGACCAAAAACTGTTGATTTCATTCGGGGGAAGCTGGGTACTGAGTTGGGAGGACGACTACACCCAGCAAGAAGGAAGAATAACAGGTCTTTTTTTTTTTTTTTTTAAGACTTAAGTTTCTATTGTACCATGCAGCAGAAGATGAAGACGTAAGGGACTAGAAATCATGGTTTGAATTCAATTGGGGAAGTCATCCAAATATAGAAAATAACAAGTAATGAAAACACTCCATGCAGTCAATGAGAAGGCAGAAACAATGTGGACCCTAGCCCATGGCCATAGCTTACGAGCGGCAGTCGGTTAATTTACCAGTTTTATCTAGTACCTGTCATGTCTACTTCAGAAACAATAACTGTTGACTGTGTGCTTACTGTGTGCCGGGCACTGTGATCTACACGTATTCTCTCCCACAGTCCTTACCACACGCCTAGGAAAACCGAAAAACTAAACCATTGCCATCGAGTTGGTTCTGACTCATAGCAACCCTACAGGACAGAGGAGACCTGCCTCACAGGGTTTCTGAGGAGCAGACTGCGGATTTGAACTGCCGACCTTCTTGGTTAGCAGCCAAGCTCTTAACCACTGCACCACCAGGGCTCCGATTACTCAAGTAATAGAACTGGTAGTGTGGGGAAGGGGGCGGGACTTTTATAAAGGACAGAGCTAACTTATGCAGAAGGAAAAGTTTGTCTCCAGTAAGAAAATATTTGTGTAGTACCTTACAGACTCCTAAGGCTTTAACATTGATTATCTCATCTGGTTCATACAATGATCTTACAAGACAGCCACGGTGACTACTATTATCCCAGACTTACCATCCAGAAAAGCGCCCTCAAAGTCAGTGCGTGCCACTGTCTTCTTGACTTCAAACATCTCCGCACGTTTCCATCTAGAGCTGGTAGCAAAAGGGCAGTATGTGTGCCCAACTGTGAAGGGATAAAGGAGTTTCTCTGGCACTGCCAACTTCTCCTTTCTATGGTCTCTCGTCCACCAATGCCTGTAGCCTTCTCCCCAGGAATACAGCTCGCCAGTGGAGCTAAAACCACAGTCCTGCAAGGTGCAGCAGGTACTGCAGCTCTCCAGGTCAGAGAAATGGCAAGAAGAACTCTGGAAACGAAGCGGGAGAGAACAGGAGCCAGCTCTGGAGCAGGCACCACTCTGGTGCAGGATGCGCTGGACATGGGCAAGTTTTTCTTTTTTTATCACATCCCTGAGGAGACTAAGTGGATGCAGTCATCAGAATTACCAGGAAAACTTTTTAAAACACAAGCTTGCTGGGCCCCTGCCAGAAATCCTGATTTAGCAGATTGGACGTGGGACCCGAGAACTGTGATGCTGATGTTACAGGTGTGTGGAACAACCCTTGAGATGCACGGCTCTCGAGGATGAGGGCAGCTTTTTCCGCATGCTTGGGGAGCCTTTTCCTTACCCAAATCACAGGCAACCCGCCCCCACCTATGTTTTAATCAGCAGAAAATCTGAGGGTCTGACATAACTTTTCTGCCATCTGCATCGAAATCTTAATCTCTAGGCACTGAAGCCACTTTATGGTGCAATGATTCAGCCCCCTTTTAGGATTTTTTCCTTTTCTCCCTTATTACGAAAGAAATGGTGAGTTAACTTGTCCTTGGATGGTGCAAATCAAGTGTACCCAGAGGTGCCTCAGAAGAAAGGCTGGGAGATCTACTTCCAAAAAATCAGCCACTGAAAACCCTACGGAGCACAGTTCTACTCTGGCACACATGGGGTGGCCATGTGTTGCAGTCAACTCAACTACAACTGGTCAGCTTCACATTTCCAATCAAGGAATTTGAGGGAGACCATTTCCATTCGGGGAGCAGCTATGTCTAAAAGCTGAGAGCTCTTCTGAGGTATATTAAACCCAACCAACCTAACTCATCAGCTTGGGTCAAGCTGAACTATGCTCTTCCATCAAGGTGCCCTAGGAAGTTACGACCACCACCATCTATCCATGGCACCAGCCTTCAAGACGGCCCCAGTCATCTCCCCTCCTGGTATCCATACTCTTGTGTAGACCTTCCCATATTTATCAGGGTTGGTCTATGTGGCCAAAAATATAGCAAAAGTAATGAAATGTGACTTCCAAGGCTAAGTCATAAAGACATTCGGCTTTGGCCTTGGTCTCGCTCTCTGAGAGGCAGACAGACATGCAGACAAACACGAGGACATTCAAGCAGCTCTGTGCAGAGATCCACACAGCACAGAACTGGGGCCTCCTATCAACAGCCCATCTTGTGGTTCCATTCAGTCTTCAGATTGCTGCAGCCCCAACTGTCAACCACAGTCTCACTAGAGACCCTGAGCCAGACCACCCAGATAAGCTGCCCCGAGCTTCCTGATTTATTCCTAAGATGATGTTTGCTGTTTTCAGAATCACCTCCGTTTTGGGGTGATTTGTTATGCAGGAATAGATAACTCGAACAGCTGCTCAATCCAGGAACCCAGAGCATATGAATCCAGAGGGTGTTCAACACAAAGCTGAAGAACTGGGCTGCCTTGAGATTTAATGGATTTCCTTTTAGCATACAAGTGTTTGCAAGTGTAAGATGTAGAACTAGCAAACTGAGATACTATGGAAGGGATGCCTATATAGGATGGGAACTTAAAGTTACTGCAGCCAAAAAATCCAGTAAATTTCATCATTCCAAAGTTCTCCCTGGAAGCCCTGGGTGATGTACACAGTAAGCGTGCTCGGCGACTAATCAAAAGGTTGGAGGTTAGAGTCCACCTCGAGGCACCTCAGAAGAAAGGCCTGGTGATCCACTTTGGAAAAAAATCAGCCATTGAAAACCCTACTCTGACATACACAGGGTTGCCATGAGTTGGAATTGACTCAGTGGCACCTCGTAAAACATTCTCCCTAGTCAGGATGAATATACATCGTTGGTGTCACAAATGCCTGAATCAAACAGTTGATCAACTGACTCAAATTCATCCAGAGCCTCCCCTCTAGAACAACTGCATAATTCACTGGTGTGTGAATATTTTCATTTTCACCTCCCACTTCCTCAGACAAAATGGCCCAGCCAACCCCCATTTACATTTTTATCTAAATGAACTGCCTTAATCTAGTCTGCCGAGGAAAAATCCTAGCAGAGCTCAGATGAAGCAGTCTGAATATAATCTGTTTGATCCCTTGATTGAAACTGAGAGACTCTATAACTTGTAAGGAAGTGGCTTTTAAACATTTCTGATGTTTACATCAGAAGCACACACAGATACAGACACACAGATTTATAACTAAAACTGAAGTTTCAGAAAACATTTACCATTACAACATGCAAAGCATTTTAATATTATGCTGTTCTATTCTGTTTCCTAAAAACCAGCCAGTCAGTATTTACAACCCAGTAACAGGACCCAAAGCGCAGCCTGAAAAATACATCCTAAGACATACTTCTGAACACTCAACAACTCCTCTGGTCTCCTAGGTACAGAAAAAGGAAAACTGAGAGCTGTTCTGAACTGGAAAAGCAGGAAAAACCAAAATAATAAATTCCTCTCAAGCCAGTGTGAATACTAACTCCACACCACCCGCATCCATAAAATAAACACTGATCCTTGGGCTTCCCCTAATCAAGGCCGGCCTCAGATGTTTCTATTCAAATGTAGCTAATTACCCAGGCCCTAAAACTCCCCTATTCCTACAGCTAATGACTAGAAAACTCACAAACAACCCAGCTAAAGCTCCCTCATAGCTCTTACCAAGTCTGGCCCAAAGGCAAAATTTCAATCACGTTGAATTTTTTGAGAGTAAGAAGGCAGGAGAAGAAAACATTAGCAAAAAACTATAAATAACCTGAATTTGCATGAAGAGGAGACCTGGTAAATCCATTTCTGTACTTCTACAAAACAGACCTCTAGTCACGGTCACAAAGAGTAAAATCAATCTGCGACAGAACATAGATTAGGCGCTGCCCAGGGCGTGGGAGTGTGGGGTGATGGAGACGTCCCAAAACTGGATTGTGGTGATAGTTGCACAACTCTATAAATTTACTAAAAATTGAGTTGTACACGTAAGTGAATTTTAAAGCAAAGTATATGGTGATCATTTATGGTAAATTATACCTCCACAATGCTGTTAAAAAGATCCATCTTTATGTGTTAGGTAAGGAAATATCCAAGATACATTTTAGGGAAAATAAGCAAAGTGCAGAATACTGGGTATGCCACGTTCCATTTGGACTTTTTGAGTGATTATACACATCACCTGCATGCACATTTCTGGAAGGACTGCCAGGAAGCCAATCACGACAGTGATCTCTGGGGAATGGGTGTAGGGTGGGAGATGGATCTTACCTGTATACCCTTTTTCACTGTTTGAATTTGTTTTGCCTTGCACCTGTATTATTTTTCATAAGAACAAAAATAAGCTGGGTAGAAGCCACCAAAAGCAAGACTCTCAAAGCAGAGCCCAAGTTATTATGGTGCTAGGTAATCTTGGCCTTTGAGGGAAGGGCTAGCTCTGGACCTAAGAATGCAAATATTTCTCAGTAGAAGACTTTAAACAGATGTCTGTCTTGGATAATAAGACCCTATGTGACAGAGTCCTCAGTCTGAAACCTTATTTCATAAAACCCAACAGGAAGAGAATTTGAATGCCCTTTGAGGAAGAAAATGCGGTTTCATAAAACTTAGCTCTCTGCTTCCCAGGTGCTGAACAAAACCCAGAGTGGTTTGTGCTTTGCAATTATAAATCTGAAAAGGCATCTGACCCATTCCATACAAGTTACAGGATTATATGAGTGCAAGGAATTGAAAATACACTCTTCATAGAGAATTATAAAAAATAAAAACATAAAAATGAAAAAAATAAAAATGAACCCCAAAAGGCCACTGAACACCACGCTCCCAAAGCTTGTAACCAGACCTTCCTTAATGGTGCAGATCTCGGTCTGGGTTCTGCCCTCTCCCCTCATCCTACTCCCTGAGCTTTTGTTCGTCTAGGTACCTGATCGGGTTCTTCACTCGCTGTCCCAGGACACAGAGAGGAGCAGTAAGAACTCTGGCTCACACCCCACACACACTTCCCCTAAAAGCAGCCATCACCCAGGTTCCTGGTTTAGAAGGTCAAGGCAACTAGAATTTGGACCATAAAACACTAGCTTCACAAGGTTCAAACACAGACTCTTGTTTGGCCTGCTTCCAGGACCACTCGTGGTTCTTCTCACCTCTCAATGGTCTTCAGTAGGAGACTTAAAAAGACGCCTTATTTACGGTAAATTATACCTCCCTAGGACAGAGCAGAACTACCTCACAGGGTTTCCCAGGAGCAGCTGGTGGATTCAAACTGTCAACCTTCGGTTAGCAGCCATAGGTCACCTTAGCTCTTAACCACTGCGCCACCAGGGCTCCACACCTCCATAAAGCTGTTAAAAAGAAAGAAGATCTATCTTCATACGCTAGGTAAGGAAAGATGTCCAAGATACATTTTAGGGAAAACAAGCCAAGTACAGAATAATGAGTGTACCTGTGACACCTGCTTGTGGCCCGTCTTCCTCTGGTGCCACCACGGACAAATGAGCCACCAGATCACCTTCCTCCCCCATACAAAGCCTGCCTTCCCTCCCAGCACCATCTCCTCCTGGAGAGCCCTCCCCGTTGCTGCAGAGACCCTGTCAGACCTCCCCAGCACCCAGAGTTTTACCCTCCCTACCCCTACAACCAAAGGAGCTGGCTGGAGCCGCATACGATCAGCTGCTAACCTAGAAGTCTGGCCCACCCAATGGCTCCATGGAAGAAACGCCTGGCCATCTGCTTCTGTAAAGATTACAGCCAAGAAAGACCCTATGGAGCAGTTCTACTCTGTAACACATGGGGTCGCCATGAGTCGAAATCAGCTCAAGGGCAGCAGGCTGGTTTACTACTTGTATTATTTCAACGGTATTATTCAACATTCAGTCAACCTATATTCACTAAATGCTTGCTATGTCCAAAATGCTGGTGCAGAGGAGGGAGCAAGGAGGTTTTGGGAGGTAACATTAAGGACAGTGCTTTTTTTTTAATAACAGTTTTACTGAGATGTAATTTGCATAAAATAAATTTCACCTTTTTTAAAGAATCTAATTCAGAGGTTTTGAGTATATTCACAGAGTTACTGTTGTACTGAATTTTTCCCCAAGGGAAAACTAACTCTGCCCTTGCAGTTGAATATACCCAATGGCAGGCAATTATTAACTGTATTAATCTAGGCCACATACCATACAATCTTTGGACAAAACGGGCAGTTTATAATTTTAAATATTCTAAAAGTTCACAAGTCTGAAACTAAAAAAAACAATGTGATTACCACGATCTAATTTCAGAACATTTTTATCACCC